GGGGGGGATTTGAGGTGGTCCCGGGGGGGATTTGGGGTGGTCCCGGGGGGATTTGAGGTGTCCCAGAGGGATCTGGAGGAGATTTGGGAACCCTGGGAGGGGTCGCAGGAAAGTTTGGGGGGGGGTCCCAAGGGATTTGGGGGTCCTGGGGCGGGTCTCAGGCTGATTTGGGGGAGGGTCCGAGGGGTTTTTTGGGGGGTCTCACCACGGAGGTTCAGCTGCTCTCGGGTGCCCCCCGAGCCTGGGGGGGTCCAGAGCGACAGCGACGACCCCGAGAGCAGAGCCCGGGTGGGGCGGGACCCCCGGAACGGCCACGGCGAGGGCCTGGGGGGGGGGGCCCCCGGAAAGGCCCCGGGGGGGGGGGGGGGGGGGGGGGGGGAGACCCCAAATTTGGGGAGGGGGGAGGTCAAAGGAGACCCCAAAACGGCCACAGGGAGGGGCCTGGGGAGACCCCGAAATTGGGGGGAGGGGGTTTGGGGGTACCTGTGGATCTCCAGCTCCTCCTCCAGCTCAGGGGGGGCTCCGAGCTCCTCCTGGGGACCCCCCCCGGACCCCTCAGTGCCCCCCAGTCCTCCCAGTACGGCCAAAGGAGGCTCCCAGTGCCCCCCAGTCCCATCCCAGTGACCCCCAGTGCCTCCCAGTATCCCCAGTCCCCCTCCCAGTGCCCCCCAGTTCCCTCAGACCCCAAACTCCTCTTCCCAGTGCCCCCAGTGCCCCAAATCCCCCTCCCAGTGCCCCCCAGTGCCCCCCAGTGCCTCCCAGTGCCCCCCAGTGTCCCCTCAGAGCCCCCCAATCCCCCTCCCAGTGCCCCCCAGTGCCTCCCAGTGCCCCCCAGTGTCCCCTCAGAGCCCCCCAATCCCCCTCCCAGTGCCCCCCAGTGCCTCCCAGTGCCCCCCAGTGTCCCCTCAGAGCCCCCCAATCCCCCTCCCAGTGCCCCCCAGTGCCTCCCAGTGCCCCCCAGTGCCCCCCAGTCTCACCACTGCCCCGGGGGTCCCGCTGCCCCCCAGGCTCAGCTCCAGTTTGTCCAGGGCCGTGTCCAGGTCCTGGGGCTCGGGGGGGTCCCGGGGGTCCCCCCCATCCCCCCACTCTGGCCCCTCTATCTGGTACTGGGGGGGTCGAGAGGGGTCAGGGGGGGTTGGGGGGTGGTCCCGGGGGGATTTTGGGGAGGTCCCGGGGGATCCAGGGAGGGATTTTAGGAGATTTTTGAGTACAGGGAGGGATTTTAGGAGGTTTTTGGGTACGGGGGGATTTTTGGGGAGGTCTCAGGTGATGATTTTAGGGAGATTTTTGGGTCCGGGGGTTTTTGGGGGGGTCCCAGGGCGCGTTTTTAAGGAGGTTTTCGGGTACGGGGGGATTCTGGGGAGGTCCCAGGGAAGGATTTTAGGAGATTTTTGGGTACTGGGAGGGATTTTTGGAGGTTTTCGGGTACGGGGGGATTTTTGGGAGGTCCCAGGGTGGGTTTTAAGGAGGTTTTTGGGTACAGGAAGATTTTGGGGTGGTCCCAGGTGATTCAGGGAGGGATTTTAGGAGATTTTTTTGAGTACAGGGAGATTTTCGGGAGCTCCCAGGAAAGGATTTCAGGAGATTTTTGGGTACAGAGGGATTCTGGGGAGGTCCCAGGGTGGGTTTTCAGGAGGTTTTTGAGTACTGGCCCATTCTGGGGGGGTCCCAGGTGACCCGGAGCAGGTTTTGGGGTGCTCCGGGGGGGTCCCAGGGTGGTTTTGGGGTACCTGGAGGGCAGCAAAGAGCATCCCCTGCTCCTCGGTGCAGTCGATGTCCTCGGCCAGGAGAGCCCCCAGCGCCTGCTCCTGCAGCAGCGCCAGCCGCAGCCCGTCCTGGGGGGCCCGGGGGGCGTCTGGGGGCAGCTGCGACCCCCGGGGGAACCCCAAAACCCCTCCCAGACACCCCCAAAGCCCCTCCCGGGCGGGCACCTCAAGGGTTTGGGAGTTCTTGGGGTGTTTGGGGAGCACCAGGGGGGATTTGGGGATACCTGGGTGGGTTTTGGGGACGCCCGGGTGGGTTTTGGGGATACCTGGGTGGGTTTTGGGGATACCTGGGGGGGTTTTAGGGACGCCCGGGTGGGTTTTAGAACATCCAGGTGGATTTTGGGACACATGAGTGGGTTTTGGGGACACCTGGGGGGGTTTTGGGGACACCTGGGGTGGGATTTGGGGCACCTGGGGGTCCAACCCCATGGCGCAGGGGTACCTGGGGTAGATTTTGGGGTACCTGGGTGGATTTTGGGGTACCTGGGGTGAATTTTGGGCTACCTGGGTGGATTTTGGGGTACCTCGGCGGATTTTGGGGTACCTGGGCTGGATTTTGGGGTCCCTGGAGTGAATTTTGGGCTACCTGGGTGGATTTTGGGGTGCCTGGGCTGGATTTTGGGGGTACCTGTGGGTCCAGCCCCATGGCACAGGGGTATTTGAAGAGCAGCAGCAGCTCCTCATCCTCGGCCACGCCCTGTTCCATCAGCGACCGCCCCACATCCAACCACCTGCGGGGGGCGGGGCCCGAGCTCCACCACGCCCCCGACCACACCCAAACACCCCAATCCACGCCCCTTAGCCACGCCCACAAGCCACACCCAGTTAAGCCCCGCCCACTCAGACAGCACGCATACCCCGTCCCGTTAAGCCCCGCCCACCCATGTCGCGCCCGGTTAAGCCCCGCCCACTCTGACCACGCCCGGTTAAGCCCCGCCCCTCACCGCGCGTGCAGCCGCGCCCGCCGGGCCAGGGCGTTCCCGGGGGGGCTCCGGGAGGGTCCCGGGGGGTCCCGAGCCCCAAATTTGGGGACCCTCAAGGGCTGGAGCAGCTCGGGGGGCAGCGCGGGGGGAGGGGCTTCGTCTGCAGGGGGAGACAGGAGGGGTTTGGGGGGAGGGGGAGGGG